TAATATACAATATATTTATTTTAATAGATATCTATGTACACATTTTCAAATAGATAAAATTAATCTCTAAAATAAAAAGAAAGTTGAATAAATTGTTACCATATGTTAATAAAATAAATTTAGTTTAGTAAATATATAATTTAAATATTGTATGTATATAATAAATATTTAAATTATATATTTACTAAACTAAATTTATTCGAGTGGAAAATTTAATGTGTATTTTATACAAATTCAGAAGCACTAATTAAAAAATATTGATGTATTGCGCAATTTTTAAATAAAAATTTTTAGGTTTATAATATGAGCAAAATTTCCAAATTCAGATCTATCAATAAATTATCATAGAATGTTACTAAAAGAAATGAGAAAGACGAAATAAGATAATACGATAATAAGATAATAAAATTCAAATATTATATAAAATCATATGAAAAAGGATACAGTTCATTTTTTAATTAAATTATGTCAACAAATTATCCATACGTATACCAGATATGTTTGGGTATATCATTTATTTATTTTAGAAACTTTTTTTTATGTTAAATTTAATTATTTATGTTTCGTATCATATTTAATTAATTTTTTTATAAAATTGCTTTTGACTTTTATAACGTTTCAAAACTTCAATTTAGCATTTGCAAAATTATTTTCAGATATGGAACAAATTGGAGAAACACATACAAATCTTGTGGGTTTTAAACCACTCACTATTTTAATGGAAATCATTGGTGGAGTACTAATAATTTTGGTTGCAATTTGGTGTGGTAAATATAGAGGTGGCTTTACTTGGAATTCTAATCCAGCATTAGAATTCAATTGGCATCCTCTTTTAATGGTTATTGGATTCGTTTTTTTATACGCCAATGGTACAGCAATAGATACATAAATTTAACAATTTAAGAAAACACTGAATTAAGTTTTTTATTCAATATTATCTTCAATTTTTTCAGGTATGTTAATATATAGAACACAAAGAAATACTCGAAAACGAAGACTGAAACTGATCCATGCAGGTATAATGTTATTAACTATAGTATTAATTGTAATTTCTCTTGTGGCTGTGTTTGACAGCCACAATTTGATTTCCAAACCAATTCCAAACATGTATAGTCTTCATAGTTGGATTGGACTCACTAGTGTAATTTTATTTTGTTGTCAGGTAACTCTTTATTCATTTATATATTATTTAACTTATATATATAATTTAATATATATTTATATATATAATATAGTTATTTATATATATAATTTAGCTTATATATTATTTAACAATCAAAAAATAACTGTGTTTTAATATTTTAGTGGCTTGCTGGCTTTCTGTCTTTCCTATATCCAGGATTACAAGTCTCATTACGATCCTCTTACATGCCAATTCATGTGTACTTTGGAATTACAGGATTTGTTGGTGTAATTGCTTCCTGTCTTTTAGGGCTTAATGAAAAAGCAATTTTTGTTCTAGGGTAAATAAATATCTTGATTATGTAACTCTGTGTTACTGTAATTTAGTAATATATGAATCACACATTTCATTCGTTATAATAACTTATTGTTTGATTTGTAATTATTTATTATAATTTCAGAACTGATTATTCAAAACTTGTTGGTGAGGCAGTGTTAATTAATATAATTGGACTTCTGTTAATCGTTTTTGGTGGATTAGCAGTTTATTTGGTGACACAAGAACATTATAAACGTTTCCCTAAACCAGAAGATGAAGCATTAGTTGGTGGCAGAACTTAATAAATAATTATGTTATATAAGAAACTTATTTTCTGACATGTAAGCAAAACAGCGTTTATATATCTTATTTCTATGATAAATTTTCATAATCCTAAACTAAGAATAAAGGTGCTAGTTATCGTTTACTTTTTTATCTTTCTATATTGCTTACATGATTGGGTTAATCTCGCATTATTTTTACGTTTTTTATATAGTTTTTATTGATTATACATAATTTAGTTATATATAATTAAATTTCATTCAATTATATATAATTAACAAGACTTAAACTTTGTATTATATTATACTCTTAAAAACTTAAGATTTTTTCATCTCTGTGCTTTTATTACTAATGAACTGTGATTTAAGTTTTTTACTTAAAATAAGAAATGATGGATACTAAGACTTAAATAGATTGAAATTCTAAAATGATTTTATTATTTAATATTGTATCTTATAAAATCTAATTTCAATTATTTTATGTAAAATATGTTTACAATGTTCTTTAACAATATTGAATATGTATAGAATGTAATATTCTTTAAAAATATTGAATTGAACGCTATATTATTTTAATATATATATATGTGAATATATGTGAATGCATAACATGTATAACTTGTACTTATCTCATAACACACATTATGATATTTGCCAAAAATATACTTATTCAAAAAAAATATATGTAAAAAGAATATATAACTTCCAAGCATACTTATGATTTTCACTTTTACTTTCCATCAAATTCATAACCAGATAAAACAAGAAAACATTTAAATTTTATAATTTGTAAATAATGCCAGGATCAATAGATAATATGGATATTTTTAATATAATGATAATATTGAGACTTATTATTGGTAATTATAATTAATAATATTATTATTTAGTTCCGATTTTAGTGATGAAGTAATTTAGAGATCAAGTGTAGTTAATTTAAAAATGAAGCTAGAAAATGAAATTTTAAATATTCCCGCTTGTCTATTCGAATAGAGCTATTATGCGCAGTATGACTCTACCCTCCCAGAGATTTCTATACTTCTAGGTTTCATATCCATATGCGTTCCAGTATATTATAACGCATTGGGCGTAGTAATAAAAGTGGTAAACTACCCTTAGAGGGCTAGCGTCCTCAAGCGTCAATCTTAACGAACATTGTGCGTTCAATGGTTAACCAAATTCCTGTGCCGCAGGCCAAATATGAATTGTTAACAGACGTTCGCCAGTGAGTTGCATTTCCTTTTATTCTTGATTTTTTAAATTCTTTATCTTTATGTATATACATATACGAAAAGCACATAACATCTATAAAAATAGCTCGATTTTCATTTATTTCCCTTCTCATAATGTATGTGTATAATAAATTTCACAATTTATCGATGCAAAATTTATACATTATAGTATATAATGTTATAGAATAATGTAATTTAGATAATTGCAGAATAACAATAATAACATTAATAAAATCGTATTGATAAAGATCTTATCTTTTAGATAACATGTAATAATAACTTTCTTATTTTGAAAGTTACACTAGAATCTATTTCTAAAGTTACTATTAATTATTAAATTTGTCAAAGTATGTTTGATCTAAACAGTTCGTAAGTATATTTATTAATAATATTGGAAATAAATATTGTTTTTTATAAATTGAAAGACTTTATAACTAAGATTTTCATCTCTTGTCAATTGAAAGAAACAACTCTTTTTAATAATTTTCTTGAAACTAAACATTTGTAAGATATATTTATAATGTTATAGAAAACTTCACTTGTTTTTATCAAATGATATAGTTATATATTTATCTTCATATTTAAATTTTATCATGTAATATTAAATTTCTTTATAAGATTTACTTTTGTATTTTTCTTTCTGTATAATGAGCCATATGTGTGAACATATAAGTGTATGTCAAATGTTACAGGTGTGGTTATTGATTATTCTATATTTACTATGATATAAGAAACCTTCATGGGTTATATTGCATATAAGTGCACATAAAATAAATTGCAAGTTTATGTTTTACATAGCTTCAAGTGTATAAAATTATATAAAACTAAGAAATATATTTTTTTATATTAAATTATTAATTATATTTATTGCTTACATTTGTTTGCTTTGCATTATATGAAACATAGACTTGTTAGTGATTCAGATTCAGAAATTAATAAATTTTCATATCTTGTTTTAGACCACGTTGGAGAACACAAATTGTGTGCTTGGTATTAGTGTCTTTGGTACTTGGAGCCCTTTTCGTGACACGTGCGTGGTTAGGAATTATTATACTTCGCTCTCCGAGAGCGAAAACATTTGATACAGAAACATTAGCGGACAATGCCAAGATTGCTACGTGGTTACGTCGGGCTCGGATGTACGCCGAGTCGACGAAGGAGAACCAGAATGCGGACAGGAACAACAGCATCAGTTCGCCACAACACTTCTCCACCAATTCCTCAGGGTACTTAAATATAAATAGTTTGTTATCTAAAGCATATGTTTCAAGTAAATGCTTATAAATATTATCATTATTGTTAAGAATTCCGGATATAAAGAAATTTATGTTAAAAAAATCTTTTTTCCATAGGCAAATCATTGTCTGTTATTACACCATATCGAGCGACTTGAACACGTTCTGGGAGCTCAGTCCGTCGCACATTGACCCTTATCTTTGTACGCATATTATCGTGGGTTTTGCGGGCGTGGTAAATTGCAGCCTTGATTTGGGCAGTAATTCATCAATCTATAAGGAAGTCATTGCTTTAAAGAAGCTACAACCTCAATTAAGGGTCATGATTAGTGCTGGCGGCAGTAATGAGCTCCATTTAGGTTTTTCAGAAATGGTAAAAAATCATGCAAATAGGAAAAGGTAATTTCCATTATTTTTTATTTTAATTGTTTGCGTATAAAATGCATTGAAAACGCTATATTCTTTTTTTTTATAGATTTATAAAATCCGTTTTAAATGTGACAAAGACATTCGGGTTTGATGGATTAGACTTAGATTGGGAATTCCCTGCATGGCTTGGAGCCGATGAACGGGAAAAGATTCGTTTCGTACAATTATTAGAGGAATTGCGAAGAGAATTTTACCGCACTAAAGAAACGTTGATTTTATCTGTTGCGGTAGCTGCTCCACAAGCTATTGTCGATCAAAGTTATATAGTCGCAGAAATGGCAAAGTAAGCAAACGCTAGATGTTATTTTTGTAATATAAGTAATATTGAATAATCGCAAATAATGATTAGTAATTAGAGCTATTAAGATCATTTATAAAAAAATATTTCTTTAAATGAAATAAAATCATTTTTTTCACTTTGTTTTTTAAATGTTGTTTTATCAAAATTTTGTAAACATTTAAAAATTTTCTTTTATTATTTAGGTACGTAGATTTTGTGAACTTGATGTCATATGACTATCATTTCTATGTGTGGTACTATCCAATTACTGGACTAAATGCACCGCTTTTCTCACGCGCTGCTGAATCTGGCTATCTTTCTACTTTAAATGTTAATTTCTCGGTTCATTATTGGCTTTCAAAAGGAATGCCAAGGGAAAAATTAATTGTGGGTATTCCTACCTATGGCCACACCTATAGCCTGGATAATCCATTGAATCATGGTTTACTCGCACCAACAAATGGCTTTGGAGAATTGGGAAATGTAGGTTTTGTTTCATATCCTATAATTTGTGAGTTCCTTCAAAATGGTGCAAAAAGTATTTTTGAACGAGAAAGTAAAGTTCCCTATGCTTACAAAGATAGAGAATGGATCTCTTACGACGATATTACAAGCGTTTACTATAAGGTATTATACATACAATATTTTTACTTTTACTTTCCTAATTTGGAGACAAAAAAATATTTCAATTACTATATATTATATACTACTATATGTTTTAGGCTGAATGGATTCGTGCAAATAATTTTGGAGGTGCAATGATATTGTCTTTAAACGTTGACGATTGGAATAATACATGTAAATTCAATGAAAGCTTTCCTTTAACTCGTACTATTAGCAAGATCCTCAGGTATCAAGAAGATTAATGCATTTTCATTTGTTTTTCTTTTATAATGATTCACATTCCAAACAAGAAATGTTGCATTCCTTGAATGGTATTTGATTACTATTTGTAATTACTATTTTAAAACCTCTTACAGTATTAAAGAAATGTTCATGCTATAAAGTACAATTATAATTTTAAATTAAAGCTATTAAATCAAATATTATTGATCATATATTTAATTATTTATTTCTGTCATATTTTATTTCTTATTATTAAAATATAATTTATGAACATATAGGAAAAAATTAAAGATAAATCATAGAAAATTTATTAGCGAGAGTAATAGTTACATCTAAATCAAATCTCTTTAGAAATTTTTGATGGTCAGGTATAACACATAGGTGCGTTTTTGTTATGAAATTTTAGAGTACATAAATTTAGGTATAAATATGGGTACTTTTAATAGAAATTATTCTCACTTATTCTTTTTTCCAAACAATGCTTTAATGTCCGACAACTAGTTATTGGATGTCTAGATAGCTTTGCCACTTACGGTCTTATTAACTACGCAGATTAAATTGAACCCTTACCATAAATCATTTATAAATAAAGCAAAAATGACATCAAGCTAATTGCTTTTAACGATCCTAGCTATCAATATATCGTCATATACATATTGTTTACATACGTATACAAGAAATATTAAAAAAGAATAACATTTCCTCTTATACAAATTGTTACCAAATATTATCAATTATAGTTAACAATTGTTATATTTATTTATTTCCATTGTTCTTTTATTTCATTTGTTTTAATTTAAATATATTTTAATTTAAAATATAAATTCGTTTTCTATTTTGCATGTACAAATATATATTAATCTAAAAAGTAGTGTTAAAAAAGAGAATTAAATAAAGAAATTAAAATAATATAAAAAATTAAAGGCTAAATATTATTTTTGAAAATAGATAAAAAGAAATTGTAAAGCATGTTATGAACTAATAATTTTGAAGAAATTCCGAGATTTAATATTAATTTATAATATAGTACTTAACAATAAGTACTGCAATAAACAAAAATATGAAATTAAAAAAATTTTTTTTTAATTGTTAAAATTTTTAAAAAATAATTAAGTAAAAATGTTGCACGAAATGTTATATTTATATTAATATAATGTATTTTTATTTTAATTCAACAAAAGGAAAGAAATAATTTGAACAATATTATCTATTTTAAAAATATAAAAACGATTTTTCTTACTTTATTTCGATTAATTAATCAAACTAGAAAAATGTACCATAGTACCGTAAATTTAAAAAAAATAATTTTATGTTAAACGGAAAGTATTTATTGTATATATACATATATATACATATTTTATATATATATATGTGTGTGT